CCTCTCAAAATAAATAAACTTTAAAAAAATTCTTTTGAGGGGTGGCTCAGTGTCTAGTGTTGTTGCTGCCTGACTTCCCTGCTCAGGTCTCACAGTTTTAGAGGTGTCTGAGCCCCCACTGGGTTCTGTGGTTACAGCCTGAGCCTGAGCCTGCTTCCGGATTCTGTGTTCTTATCTCAGCCCCTCCCTCTGCTCAGGCTCTTGTCTCTATCTCTCAGTAATGATTAAACGCTTAAAAAAAATTTTTTTTTTTAATAAATAATTTTTTTGAAAGGCAACTAGACATACACTATGGACAATCTGAGGTGACAAAAAGAACAAAATCCCTACTTCCACCCCTTTCTTCTCTCTGCCTGTGTGTAAGAAAACTCCATCCAAGTTCTAAGGGAACCAATTTTAAGTAACTTAACAAGGTGATGTTTAAAACAAAATTCACTCTAGACACTCTTACAGTATTTCTAATTAAATGTGAAGGTCCAAAGAACGAAATAGTGAACCAGCGTTTCCAGCCTCTAGGGTTCCTCAGGTTTGTAATCTCTCTGCTGCTGGGGAAGTGAGAACATTTTCTTGTATTTTCTCTCCTCCTCTGGTAAGACAGATGCAAAAGGGCATAAGACATTGTTTAAGCAATCAAATTTTCTATCTGAATACAATGTTTATTATATATTTCATTTTCTTTAAACTTACAAGTACAAAATTACCTTCCTGTTTCAATTTTTCCATCAGTATAACAAAACAGGTGTTCCTGCTCTTTTTCCAAGTTCTCAATGGACAGAATGAGTTCAATACCTGCAGAAACCTTTCTCCTCAAAACCCAACAATATGGTTATCTACTTCTCCTGTTTGTAATCAGTTCTGTTAGTATACATATGATGATGTTACTTACATTGGTCTCCAAGTTATGGGAAAAATGAGCTTTCTACACAACAAATCTAAAAGAAGTTAAAGGCCACCAAATGTGAGTATATGGTCAGAGGAATGGTCTGAAACCACATAAAACAAAAAAATTATCTTTGGGTTTTCTGTAAAACTTTTGGCCACTTTCCTGTGGTTTTCCTCATAATCCCTTTCTAGATTTTTTTGCTAGTATGTCCCTCTGTCTATCCACCAACATTATCAGGTGGCACAGTTGCTGCAGCAAATCCCAGAGCAAAAAAAAAGAAAGAAAACATAGTATCAAAAAGTAGTAGAGTTTCATATTCCATAATTTAATCCTACACTATCTCCATTCAAATAAGTGAACGTATTAATAAGCCATAGTATCACTAAACACAGCCTTTTGCCAGGCACTGCTCTAAGCCTTATGTGGATGGACAAATTCTCAAAACCACTTTATAAGTAGCGGCAAAATCGTCATTATCATCAACAGGTAGGCAGCAGCTGGGACTAAATCAAGGCTCTAGCCGCCACTTCAATCACTTCCTTGAACAGTACTGTCCAAACAGGGTTTTCACTAATACATATGGTATTTAACTGGAATGGACTAAAGCTCAGTGTCTTTAGCTGCACTAGCTGTGATTCCAAAGTGCCTGCAGAGCCCACTCACAGAGCTACCTCCATCCACCATCTTTTTTTTCCTTAAAAATTGGAGATATCCGGTGTAGTTTGGACCACTTAGCTCATCCTTCTGTATGGCCCTTAGCTCAGCAAATAGTAGAAGACTTTAATGAACACTGTAGCAAAAATGCAAGGGTTCATTTAGTGACATGGTTCCCATGAAAGCAGTCTTTGTGAGCCAGCCAACTTAGGAGGGCATTCTCCGCCCCATCCACCTTGGGTTGGTCCCTCGGTAAGGGGCACATTTAGTGAAGCTGCTCAAAGCCCGTACCTGAGCCAGGTTCGCTCAGCCATATTCTCAGGACAAGTCAATCCCAATTCCACCGGCTACACTTGTCAACAAACAATACATGCCTTTCCTTGGTAAGAAAGGACTGTGGAGTAGGTAGGTGGTTAAAAATAGGTCACAATACCACATTACAGGTAGGCATTGTACTCAGTTCAAGCCATATAAGAGGACCGGCCTATAAGACGACGAGGAATGATACAGGACACCAGCATATCAACTGACATGCCTCTCAGGGGTTCTGAGAAGACCACCTGGCAGGCTTACTCTTCACTTTAGAACTTCTGTAAGCCAACAGGAGTAGGGGAGGGACAGGTTAGCTGAAATGGTTTGAGATGACAGAAGAAACAGTTCTAAACTACCATCAAGGATAGGAGATTTTTTAAACTAGGCAACTAAAAATTCAAAGCTGAAACCAGAGAGGAAAAGTAACAGAAAAGCAAAACTAAAGGTGCAAAGAGGGTTCAAACTCGAGCTAAGATTTCTAAGAACATCTATAAAAAATTATAAGACAGGTTTTAAAATGGAAGTTAATTACATGGCACCATCACGCTTCCTTCCGAAAGTCATAAAGGGGGCTGCAAGTCTGGGAGCCCGTGGGACCTGTAGGGCAGGCAATTAGTATCTGCCTCCCCTGCCCCAGAGCAATGCCTGGGAACCAAGAAAGAAAATGCTACAGACAGGAAGGTCTAACAACCAGAGCTGGGCAGGTGGTAACGAACACTTGGATAAAGGACAGAGGCAAGGTGAACTTGCCCTATTGGCAGAAACACAAGCTGCAGGCAGGCAGCATACAAAGCAAAACAACGCCCTGAAAGCAAAACCCCACTAATCCAGAGGTGAGGGTTTCTCTTCTAAATGTTACAGACCCAGGTTCATCTTGCCAACACTAAATCATCACGTGACACAAATTTTGAATAATGATTTAATAAATTCAGAGCAAAAAAAAAGCAAGAGCAAATTTAGACACAGTGCAGAAAAGGCAACACACAGTGTCTGGACCGTTATCTTAGAAATGTTCTTTGGGGCATGGGTATGCGTGTCGGGTTAAGCTGTCCTGACTGGCCACAGGCTCCATCTCGCCGGCTTGAGTTCTGAAACCGCCGTCAAGCCTCTGGCTGATAAGAGCCTGAGCCTGAGCCTCTCCCATTTGTATCTCTCCTCCTTCGGCCTCTGCCCCTCCTCTGCTCATGTTTGTCTTCTGTCCCAAAATAAAACGCTTGAAAGAAAAAAA